GATCCGCACAATCAAAAGCCTTTGCGTAGTCAATAAAGCACAGATAAACATCTTTCTGGTAGGTATTCTCTGCTTTTAGCCAAAATCCATCGGACATCAGCAATGATATCCCTTGTTCCACATCCTCTTCTGAATCCAGCTTGAACCTCTGGAAGTTCTCTATCAATGTATGCTTGCAGCCTTTTCTGTATTACCTTTAGTAAAACTTTACTCGCATGGGATATCAAAGATGTCCGATGTTGTCTGCATTCTGTTGGGTCACCTCTCTTTGGAATGGGCACAAATATGGATCTCTTCCAATCAGTCAGCCAGGTAGTTTGTCTTCCAAATTTCTTGACATAGATGCGTGAGTGCCTCCTGTGCCACCTCACTTTCTTGAAAGATTTCAATTTTTATTCCATCAATTCCTGGTGCCTTGTTCTTTGCCAATTCCTTTAATGCACCTTGGACTTCTTCCTTCAATATCATTGGCTCTTGATCATATGCTACCTCTTGAACATCAATCATTTCCTTTTGGTACAGTGACTCTGTGTATTCCTTTTATCTTCTTTTTTTTTTTTTTAGCTGTTTTATTGTGAATTATGTGATAGTGTACATGGAAGAACATTAGCTTTACATTCATCCTATCATATATTGTTACACTGCCATGGTTACAATTCCCTCCATGCATGATCAACCAACCAAAGGGTACACCCCGCAAGCCTGTCCCCTGGCCATTAGCACACAGCCCCTCTCCCTCTCTGGGTCTAGAGTTCCCAGCCGCTCCATCTCTCCATGTCATCGTCTTTGCCTCCATCTCTGGCATCACTGTTTCCTTCCATCTTCTTTTGATGCTCTCTGCATCATTCAATAATTTGCCCAGAGAATCCTTCAGTAATGAAAGTTGAGGCTTAAATTTTTTCTTCAGTCCCCCAGCATGAGAAATGCTGAGTGTGCTTTTTGGTTTTCTGACTCCAGATCTTGGCACATTTTGTTGTAATATTTGGCTTCATCTTCTTGAGCTGACCTTTGAAATTTTCTGTTCAGCTCTTGTACCTCCTCATTTCTTCCATTTGCTTTAGCATCTCTATGCTGGAGAGAAAGTTTCAGTGTCTCTTCTGACATCCATTTTGACCTTTTCCTTCTTTCTTGTCTTCTTAATGACTTTTTGCTTTCTACATGTATGGTGTTTTTGATGTCATCCCACAATTCTTCTGGTCTTTGGTCTTTAGAATGTATCAAATCTGTTCTTCAAATGATCTCTAAATTCAGGTGGGAAATATTCAAGGTCATATTTTGGTTCTCATGGTCTTGCTTTCATTTTCTTCAGCTTCAGTTTGAATTTGCATATGAGCAATTGTTGTTCTGTTCCACTATCTACCCCTGGCCTTGTTTTGACTGATGATATAGAGCTTTTCCATCATCTCTTTCTGCAGATATAGTCAATTTGATTTCCGTGTATTCCATCTGGTGAGGTCCATGTGTATAGTCATCTCTTATGCTGACTAAAGAAGGTATTTGAAGTGAACAAATCATTGATTTTGCAGAATTCTATCGTGTGATCTCCAGCATCATTTCTATCACCAAGGCCATATTTTCCTACTTCTGCTCCTTCCTCTTTGTTCCCAAGCTTTGCATTCCAATCACCAGTAATAATCAATACATCTTGATTTTGCATATTTGATCAATTTCAGATTGAAGAAGTTGGTAGAATTCTTCTATTTCATCCTTACTGGCTTTAGTGGTTGGTGTGTTGTTGTTGTTGTTGTCAGGTGCCATAAAGTCGGAACCGACTCATAGCGACCCCATGCACAGCAGAATGAAACAATATCCTATCCTGAGCCAACCTCACTACCGCTGCCACACTTGAGTCCATCAATGATGGTTGGTGTGTAAATTTGAATAATAGTGGTATTAACTGGTCTTCCCTATGTTGTTGCTCTTGTGAAGTGCCAATAATGATCAATACATCTGGATTGCATGTTTGACCGATTTCACATTGAAGAAGTTAGTAGAATTCTTCTATTTCATCCTCACTGGCTTTAGTCATTGGTGCATAAATTTGAATAATAATGGCATTAACTGGGCTTCCCTGTAGGCACATGGATATTATCCTATCACAGACAGCATTGTACCTCATGACTGATCTGGATATGTTCTTTTTGACAATGAATGCAACACCATTCCTCTTCAATTTGTCATTCCCGGCCTAGTAATCCCTAGTAATCCATGTCAATCTTGGCATAGTAATCACTAATGCCTAAAATATCGATGTTTATGCATTCCATTTCATTTTTGACAATTCCCAATTTTCTTAGATTCATACTTTGTACATTCCAAGTTCCGATTATTAATGGATGTTTACAGCTCTTTCTTTTCATTTTGAGTTGTGCCCTATGAGCAAATGAAGGTCCCCACAGGTTTTACTCCCACAGGCTTTACTCCATTCCCGTCATCGCGGTCAACTCTACTTTGAGGAGGCAGCTCCTCCCCAGTCACATTTTGAGTGCCTTCTAACCTGAGGGGCTCATTTTCTGGCACTATATATGACGGTGGTTCTCTGCTATTCATAAGGTTTTCAGCGACTAAATATTCGGAAGCAGATCATCGCTCCTTCTTCCTAGTCTGCCTTCATCTGGAAGCTCATCTGTAACCTGTCCACCATGGGTGACCCTGCTGGTATTTAAAGTACCAATGGCATAGCTTCCAGAATCACAGTAACTCACAATCCACCATAGTACAACAAACTGACAGACAAGTTTTTTTTTCTTTGCCGATAGACTCTTTCAATATTGTAAGTCAAGGCTTGAATTTTTTCTTCAGTTCTTTCACTGGTTTTAGTGGTTGGTACGTAATTTAAAATTTAAATGGTGGTATTAATTGTTATATAAAATTTTGTTATATTAGTTATTAAACAAGTAGCTAATATGGTATGGGTGCAGGCCGGATTAGTGGCTTTAAAAAGATCTTGGTTTTGTCTACACAGCCCTTCAACTGTTTCCTGCTTTCACACTCTGCTTGCCCTTTTTGATACTCTACTTCCAAAATGCCTCTCCTGCTCCCCAAACTGTGTAGTACTCTAGGTGTGGATTATCCATCCCAGAATTCACCGAGATTGCTTGCTACCTCCTGATTTGGAAACAGTGTTCCTTTAAATTCAGCCCAAGATCATCATGGTTCACTTTCCTGATCAAATGACATCTGAGTTGTGTATGGTACCTATGGTCACTTCAACTCCCCACCCACTTGCACAGTTAGTTTAGAACTTCATTCTTCAATACAACCCCAGAAAGAATTCCCAAAGAAAGCAGGAGTGGCTGAGGCCTCAGGCTGAAGCTGAGACTTAGTGCTACATCCAAAATAAAGACAGTGGAGACGAGCAGCAATCCAAGTCAAGCAATAGCAGACACAGGAGGAGAAGCAGGAAAGAGTGTTGCTGAAGGCCAGAGAGGACTGTGGGAGTAGAGGCAAGGCTCTGAATGATTGCCTGGGGTGGTGGGGAAAACCACTAGAGTATACTGCAGAGGATTTCAGGTAGAGTTCATCAACCTGCCTTGTGGGTAAGTCACTTCCTCTCTCTGAGCCTCAAATTACTCATCTATAAAATGTGTGTATAGAGGTGCTAATGAGAGATGGACTAAGGAACTGATGTCATCCTGATAAAATCATTGTGTTATTGTTGTTAAGTGCTATCAAGTCGGTATCAACTCATAGCGACCTTATGCACACAAAAATAAAACACTGCCCGGTCCTGCGCCAACCTCACAATTATTGCTACATTTGAGCCCATTGTTGCTGCCACTGTGCCAATCCATCTCATTGGGGGTCTTCCTCTTTTTAATGGCCCTCTACTTTACTTAGCATGATGTCCCTCTGTAGGGACTGGTTCCTCTTGATAACATGTCTAAAGTTTTAGAGATGAAGTCTGGCCATCCTGGCTTCTAAGGAGCATTCTGGCTGTGCTTCTTCCAACAAGGATTTGATTGTTCTTTTGGCAGTCCATGGTACTTTTCATATTTTCCTCTAACACCATAACTCAAATGCATCAATTCTTCAGCAGTCTTTATTCATTGCCCTAAGTTCACATGCATATATAAGGTCATTGTTGTTAAGTGCTTTGGAGTCCGTTCCAGCTCATAGTGACCCTTGTATAGGGTTTCTGAGGAGCAGCTGGTGAATTTGAACTGCTGACCTTGCAGTTCAAACTGACCTTGCAGTCTAGTGCATTATCTCACTGTGCCACACCAGGGCACCATGGTAAGGTTATTGTTGTTGTTAAGTGCCATCAAGACAGTTCTGACTCATAGAGACCGGGTATAGGGTTTCCAAGGAGCAGCTAGTGGGTTTGAACTTCCAACCTTGTGATTCAAACTGACCTTGTGATCTAGTGCTTATCCTACAGTGCCACACCAGGACTCCATGGTAAGGTCATTAAAGACTTTCTATTTCAGTACAAGAGAAACCCAGAGAGTAGTGAGGAGAAACCTAACCTTTATGATGAGCACCTCGTGGCACAGTGGGTTATTCAAGCCCACCAGCCTCTACGTGGGAGAAAGATAAGACTGTCTGCATCCATAACGATTTATAGCATCAGAAACATTAGGGAGAATGATTACTCTGTTCAGTAGTGGCGCTGTGAGTTGAAATTGATTTGATGGCAATGGTTTACTGTGTGTTGGGCATTTGAACAACATTCCCTATCTCTGGGAGTCCTGCTAAGGTGCTGTGGGATAAGCTCTGGGCTGATAACCACAAGCAGTTCAAACCCACCAACTGCTCCTTGGAAACCCTATACAGGGTCACTGTAAGTCAGAATTGGCTCGATGGCACTGTTACAACAACAATGCCATCTCTGTGAGCCTCGTGACCAATCTTTGAGGTCAACCTGTGAGACACGCATGTGAACCCCATTTTACAGTTAAGGAAATTGAGGCTTAGCTTGTGAAGTGACTTCACCCAGCGAAAACTCAGTTGGAGTTTGAACAGGGTGCACCTAATTCTTGCCTTCCCATTCCCAACAGGTGGTACTTTGGAAAGATTGGAAGAAAGGATGCAGAGAGACAACTGCTGTCTCCAGAGAACCCACGGGGGGCCTTTCTCATTCGAGAGAGCGAGACCACCAAAGGTGAGAGAGGCATCACAGGGGGTGGGGGTGTGTGTGAAGGGGTGATTAGGAGTCCCAGTGTAATAGGAGGCCAGTTGGGGGAGTCCTGGTGTAGTACTGTAGGATCAGCACTGACTGGACTGCTAACCCCAAGGTTGCTGTTAAGTGCCTTAGAGTCAGTTTCTACTCATAGCAACCCTGTAAAAGGTTTCCGAGGTGCAGCTGATGAATTTGAACCACTGACCTTGCAGTTCAAGACAACCTTGGGTGTAGTGTATTATCCCACAGTACCACCAGGACTCCATTGGACCAAGACTTGTTGTTGTTAAGTGCCATCTAATTGGTTCCAACTCATAGTGACCCTGTATAGGGTTTCCAAGGAGTGTTGAGCTTGAACCACTGACCTTGCGGTTCAAACGGACTTTGCTGTCCAGTGCGTTAACCCACAGCACCACACCAGGCCAAGACTAGGACTGAGTTAAAGGGCTGAGACTGGTTAGCCAACTTAATCTCCAGCCTTTGGAGTTTGCCCCATTCCCAGATTGGTGGGGGGTGGGGTGGGGTGGGAGTGAATCAGGCCCCAAAGTGCCCTTCCCCCACAGGTGCCTACTCCTTGTCCATCAGAGATTGGGACCAGACCAAAGGCGATCATGTAAAGCATTACAAGATCCGCAAGCTGGACACCGGCGGTTACTACATCACCACAAGAGCCCAGTTCGACTCCGTGCAGAAGCTGGTGGAGCACTATATGGGTGAGGTCTGGCCCTTTGGGGAGGGCAGGCAGGGGCTTCAGACCCCTGCACCAGTCTGCAAATGTGTGGTCCAGATGGGGATTCTGAGACCCAGAGAAGGCCAGGTTTAGGACTAGGATCCCGTGCCCAGGTTCCAATCCAGGGTCCTGATCTGTGGAATTTACAAGGAAACAGAAGTATCCATGGCTAAGTAGTGCCTCATAACCTCTGAGTGAGGAGGCCTGGATCTATTGAAACATTCATGAGTGTTTGTGCTTGCTGCAGGTGCAACTCGGAAATGGCCCCTTAAGTAGCTCACAGTCTGGTGAGAGCAAAAGATAACATAACTGACAATAATAAAAATAAAAATCCATACTTTGTTGTTTCTATGTGTCAGGTACTGTTCTAAACTCATTGCAGGTAATGATTTCATCCTTATAGCAACATCTAAGGCAAGAGAGGCAAAGCAGTTTATCCAAGATGCCCAGAACTTACATTGAGAAGTCAGTAATAATGCTGTGCTAAAGCAGAGAAGAAGGAAGCCTGGTAGTGTAGTGGGTTACGAGTTAGACTGCTAACCTCAGTGTCAGCAGTTGGAATCTGAAAGATGAGGCTTTCTGTTCCCATAAAGATTTACAGCCTCAGAAACCTTATACAGTGTTGCTATGGGGCAGAACCGACTTCACAGCACAAAATCACCAAAGCAGAGAAGGGGGCCACCAGAGCCCAAGTAGAAAGAACTTCCTAGAGGCAAGCAAAGATGATTCTCTGGGCAGTGCTGCAAGCCAGCCAGGACCAGACCATGTCATCTTTGAATGCCCCACTAAGGCCCCAGGACAGGCAAGGAGCCATCATCCCAGGATCCTGAGCACGTGGTGACAGAGGGTGGTCTGCAGTTTGCTGCTAGGGGGAGCTTGTATGGTAGAGGCAAGGCAGGATGAGGGTCCATTAGGAGGCTGTGGCTCTCCTAATGTCCAGGTGAGAGGTGAGACTGCCTGACAAACGCAGAGCAGTTGAATGAGGAGAAATAATTCCAAAGTTGGATTGTTGTTAAGTGCTGTTGAGTCAGTTCTGACTCATAGTGACCCTGCATAAGGTTTCTGAGGAATGGTTGATGAGCTTGAATTGCCAGCCTTGAAATTCCAACCAACTTTGTAGTCTAGTGCATTAACCCATGGTACCCTACCAGGATAGGAGGCAGATTAGGCCTGCCTTGCTAGAGGATTTGCTAATTGTTAAGGAGATGGTAGGAATCAGTGTGCAGGTTTTTGCCTTGATTAGTCAGGTCAAAGATTAAGTCCCTGGAAGGGGAAGAGTCTTATGTCCACACCTTAGCCTGGAATCACCAACCTCATTTCCATCTTTCAGAATCCTACCTTGTCCTTCAAGGTCCAACTAGGTAGACCCTCAATCCTTACAGGGACCATCTCTCCCTCTTGGAGTCACTCCCTCCCTGGGTATCAGCTAACATGTTCACTAATTTTGTGGTCAGGGAGTAGGTTGACACTTGGTCTATGGGATCATCTGTGGTCCAGTTCCTCATCTTGGGGTCTGGCCCAGGGCTGGGGAGTCATAAGTAGTGTATGGAGATCCTGGCTGGTCTGTGACCTTCATCCTTCCCCCCAGAGGTGAACGACGGGCTGTGCCACCTGCTTACGACAGCCTGCACCACCATGAAGCCTCAGACACTGGGCTTGGCCAAGGACGCCTGGGAGATCAGCCGCGACTCCATCACTCTGGAGCGCCGGCTGGGTACCGGCTGCTTCGGGGACGTGTGGCTGGGTACGGATGTGGGATGTGGGGGTTCAGGGGCTGGGATTAGGGCAGGCGGGCAGGGGTTCCTAACGCGCTGACGACAACGCCTGGCAGGCACGTGGAACGGTATCACCAAGGTGGCGGTGAAGACACTGAAGACGGGCACCATGTCCCCGAAGGCCTTCTTGGAGGAGGCACAGATCATGAAGTTGTTGCGACACGACAAGCTGGTGCAGCTGTACGCGGTGGTGTCGGAGGAACCCATCTACATTGTGACTGAGTTCATGTGCTATGGTGAGGAGCGGGGCCAGGGGACGTCGTCTAGGAAGGATGAGACGTGGGAGCAAGATCTTTGTGGGTATGGGGGGATGAGGGACCACGCGGGAGCCCATCAGCGGCGCTTGACCGAGTCAGACAAAATAAGCGTTGACGTGGAGGCGGAGCCAAGTGAGGAAACGCGGCACCTGGTTGGGGGCGGAGCCCAGACAGGGCAGCGAAAGCCGGATCAGAGTACTGGAGGGAAGTAGGGCAGGGTTTGAATCTGCCTTGGCCAGAAACACCGAGGAGCAGAAGAGACGGAAAAGTCCGGTGAGGTCAGGTTGTCTAGGAGCGGATCCTAGGCGAGATCTGTGAAGGGATAAAGCGGGAGCTTGAGTTGGGAGTATTTTAGGCAAGAGAGCAGGGGGCAGGGCGAGGGTAGAGGAGGAGGGGTGGGTTGGAGCCAAACGAGAGATTGGCCTGGATCTGGAAGCCGGATCCTGTTGCTGATTTTCTTGGTTCCTCTTCCCAGGTAGTTTGCTGGAATTTCTCAAAGACCAGGATGGCCAGGATTTGAGGCTGCCTCAACTGGTGGACATGGCAGCCCAGGTAAATGGGGACAGCAGCCTTTATCTCTCAAAAACCAAACCCTTTGCCGTGGAGTAGATAACTACTCACTGATAGTGGTGATGGTGGTAGTAGAGTGCTGTGGAGTCGATTCCGACTCACAGTGACCCTGTATAGGGTTTCCGAGGCTGTAAATCTTTATGGGAGCAGAAAGCCTCATCTTTCTCCTGCGGAACCGCTGGTAGTTTCGAACTGCTGAACTTGAGATTAGCAGCCCGACTCGTAGCCACTCTGCTACCTAACCCTATTATAGGACAAAGTAGAACTGTCTCTTAAGATTCCCTAGGCTGTAAATCGTTATGGTCTGCCACGTTTTCCCCTGATAATTGCTGGTGTGTTTGAACCACCCAACTTTAGGCTAACAGCCAAGCACTTAACCACTGTGTCACCAGGGCCCCTGTTTTTTCCAAAGCCCATTCCTATTGTTGTTTTTGTGAAGTGCCATCGAGTTGATTCTAACCCATAGCGACCCTGTATAGGGTTTCCGAGGAGCAGCTGGTGAGCTTGAACCACTGACCTTGCAGTTCAAACAGCTTTGTAGTCTGGCGCATTAACCCACAGCGCCACACCAGGAGGAGTCCATTCCTATTAACTTTACACAAATGCCTGTGTCCGCAAAACATCTAGCATCCCCCTGGAAATGCAGATCTTCCCACTGAACTAGCTGTGAGATCTGAGTCTCTCTCAACCTAAGTCTCTCCATCTGGAAAATGGATTTTTCAAATGGTCCCTGAAGGCCCTCTAGCGCACACAGGTCTACATGGGTTTCCCAATCTGTGTTGAAAGAAGTATGATCAGAATGCTTCTTAGGAGCCAAGATGACCAAACTTCATCTCTCATACTTCAGACATATTTTCAGGAGGGACCAGTTATTGCAGAAGGACATCATGCTTGGTTAAAGTGGAGGGTCAGTGAAAAATAGGGAGGCCCCCAAGAAGATAGATTGGCACAGTGGCAGTTGTAGTGGGCTCAGGCATAGCAGCCTGTGAGGATGATGCAGGGCCGGGCAGTGTTTTCGTTCTGTTGTACATAAAGTTGGTATGGGTTGGAACTTACTCACTGGCACCTAACAACAACATGCCTTGGCTCCTCAGATAGCAGAGGGCATGGCCTACATGGAGCGAATGAACTACATCCACCGTGACCTGAGGGCAGCCAATATCCTGGTCGGGGAGCGGCTGGTGTGCAAGATCGCAGACTTTGGTCTGGCCCGCCTCATTGAGGATGATGAGTACAACCCCCAGCAAGGTGCTTTGCCTCACCCCACTTCCTGAGAGCTTGCCAGGGCACCCAGGGTCTAACATGAGGTCCCACATACTCAGGAACCCTCTCCCACCCCCAAACCACCTAGGACACCCTCATCTTGATGTTGTAGCACAAGAGGCAAGTCTGAGTTCAAATAAGCAAGTCTCTTCATTACCGTGAGCTGCCTTTTGTCAGTTTCTCATATGTAAAATTAACATATTCAGATGACAGTAAGTCAACAGATATTTATTCTAAGCACCTACTATGTGCCAGGCACTGCTGTAATGCTTCAGTAAGAAGCTGCAGAACCCAATACTTAGGAGCACAGATTCTGTAACCAGATGCCTGGGTATGAATCCCAGTCACTTACTAGCTGTGTGTTCCAGGCAAGTTACTTAAGTAACTTAAGTAACAGTGCTTCCTTTTATCCATCCCTAAAATAAAGATAACAATAGTACCTACTACATAAAGGTTTGGTGAGAGTTAAATAAGTTCTTGCCTGTAAAGCACTTAAAACAGTGCTTGGCATGTAGTAAAGGTTATACAGGTATCAAAACCACTGGCTTCAAGTCAATTCCAACTCAGAGTGCCCCTTATACAGGGTTTCTAAGACTGTAAATCACTATGGGAGTAGATAGCCTCTTCTTTCTCCTGTAGAGTGGCTGGTGGATTTGAACCATGTACTCTTTAGTTAGCAGCCCAGTGCCTAACCCGCAGTGCCACTAGGGTTCGTTAGTACTGGTATTAGCTGTTGTTATTATTATAAGAATCATTACAATGTTTATAAAGTGCCTAGCACTAGGCTAGACACATGGTAGGTGCTGGCTAGGACCTTTCTGCCCTGCCCAGGGATCCCAAGATCCCCAGTCCTAAAGATTCTATTTTTTAAATCCAGCTTTTCCCAGGGATTTCCTCACTGACTTTCCCTTCACTTCCAACCTCTCCAGGAGCCAAGTTCCCCATCAAGTGGACCGCCCCAGAGGCTGCCCTCTATGGCAGATTCACCATCAAGTCAGACGTGTGGTCCTTTGGGATCCTGCTCACTGAGCTCATCACCAAGGGCCGAGTACCCTACCCAGGTTTGCTGGTGGGGGGGAGATGGACTCAGGGAAAGGCTTCCTCTTTGCTGTTCCTTTGTGGGGACTAAGCCCCATGACTAATGTAGTCTTACCCTGCAGGTATGAATAACCGGGAAGTATTGGAGCAAGTGGAGCACGGCTACCACATGTCGTGTCCCCCAGGCTGTCCAGTGTCCCTGTATGAAGCCATGCAGCAGACCTGGCGCCTGGACCCAGAGGAGAGGCCTACCTTCGAGTACCTGCAGTCTTTCCTGGAGGACTACTTCACCTCCACAGAACCCCAGTACCAGCCTGGCGATCAGCCATAGTCTACTTGGGCATCAGCCACCTTTCTGGGGGGTGCTCATCAGTCCTTGTCAATCCCCAGGACTCTGGTCCCCAAAGCCTTTAGGCTTAGAATCCTACAGAGAGAGTCCTAGCATATCAGAGCCAATAGGACACACTCTCACCATCTAGGGCAACCTGCTCATTTTTACAGATGGGCCTAATCAAGGCTCAGAACTTATCCCTCACCCACGCTGGCTCCAAACACCGTTTCTCCCCTTTGCCACTTAGGCCCCTTCAGACCTTGAGTCTCTCCTCCACCCCTAAAATGTTCAGGCCCTGTCTAGTTATTTATAAAGCTATGAATATCCTTTTCCTCCTTTACTACCTCTCCCTGCTTTCCTAGCCTAGTGTCATATTCCTTTAGCCCAAGTCCCCAGAATTTGTCTCCTTGTCTCAATCCTCTTGTATCTGTCAATTATAAAGACGGAAAGTTTCTGTTGGGCCCTTTTCTACTGGGTGAAGCCATGGCTGGGGTGCTAACCTGGAACTGAGGGAGAGAGCTAGAGGTTCATTCCCTTCTGATCATGTGTGTGTGTGTGTGTGTTGGTTTTTCTAAATAAGGAAAATGACGATATGAATCCTTAAACCATGTAATTCTCCTGAACCTGCCTTTTGGGGGGATAGTGGCCAGTGAGAGGTGAGTGGGGATGGTTTGACTGTTGGAACAGAAGGTAGAAGTGAGACCCATGCCTTTGCACCTACTAGGGCACCCAAAGTGTTGAATTTTGGGAGACCCCAAAATCTTGCTACTTGTTCCCATGTGAGTTTAGAACCAGTTGACAGATGGATGCAGAAGACAAGCAACTGAAGATCAAAATATCTCCCACTACTGATGTGGTTTTTTATTTCTGTGCAAAGGGTTTGCTAATTCTTTACCTGATTTAAACAGATACATCACCCAAAACAGGACAACCACAGCCCTCCCGCAACAAGGGCAGGGGAGGAGACCACAGTGGAAACTCTGCAGCTGGCTGTTGTTAAGTGCCTTCGGGCTGGTTCCGACACATAGCAACCCTGAATAGGGTTTCCAAGGAGCTGCTGATGAGTTTGAATCACCAATTTTGCAGTTCAAACCGACCTTGAGATCTAGTATTTATCCTACAGCACCACGCCAGGACTCCCTGCAGCCGGTAGATCCCTAAAAGAGGACAGAGTGAGGGGGGAAGAGAGACTTCAGGGCTAGTCTAGCTCAGTGGATCTCCTGGAGTGCAGCTCTGTTTCCTAGAAGGGATTTTGTTGAAGAAAGGATACCATTTCACAATCACTTGGGGCTGCTACTGGCTTTATATGGGCAGAAACCAGGAATGCTTAACACCTTTAAAGCTCCTGTGCAGTGAAGACCGTGTCCTGCTCTATAGCGCCCCCTGTGAGGAACTCTGGCAGCTGACATTCTTCCCACCCGGGAAATTAGAGGGGCAGGGACTAGGAATTCCCACTTTGTCCATGGGTTTTTAGGAAATCTGTGTTGATTGCCTGGCTCATGCAGAGAATGGACGGGTGAAGGATTCTGGGAACCAGCAATTGTCAACTAATTACTAAGCATTGACTGCAGAGAGCCCTTTGCTAGTCAGAACCATGGGAACACAAACATGAACCAGACCTGTCCTTGCCCTATAGGAGTTCACACCCAGGCTGGGGAGAAATCATAGTAATAACAAACTTAAGTGTGCTGAATACCAAATGTGTTTACTTCCATCTTTGCATTTAATTCAGTCCTCAGTCTGGTTCCATGATTGGCCTCCATTTACAGATGAGGAAACAGAGGCTCAAGGGTGATGTGATGTACCAAGGTCACACAACTGTAGGAAACAGAGCTGTGATTTGAACCTATGCCTCACACCAAAGCCCATGTGCTCACTGGACTCCCCTGCTTGTATGCTTTGGGAGGAGATCATTTCTGCACCGGCAGGAGCCCTCCTATAGAAAGATGGAGTGGCTTCCAGGAAAGGGGGGTGAAGTAGCCAGTGCAGATTAAGAGGTCCCTGTGCCCAGTCCTGTGTTGGAAGTTGCCAGACAGGAGCAATAAGATAGGGAGAGGGGAAGTGGCTGTTCAGAGAGACTGGCACAAGGGTAGCAACCTTAGGTTTGCATACTGAAATTCACAAGGGTCAAGGCTCAAACTGTAGAGGGGCACAGTCAGTCTGTGGCCAGCCCAACTCACAGGAACCAGATGTGCAAGCTAGAGGCCAGCGTTTTCACTTTCTGCTGACTAAGAGGATCAGAGCACAGGCGTATTGCCTACTGTGCATTCAGCTTCTACCACTCCCTAACTGATTTTGCACAAGTTAAGTCTCTTCAAGACCCAGTGTGCTCATCTGTAAAATGGCAGTAAATTCTCAATAAATGTTAGCTCTGTCTAGCACTACCATTTACCAATCATTTACTCTGTGCCAAGCACTCTGCTAAGTTCATGCATGTTGGTCATTTATCCTTTATAGAACCCTATGAGGAGAGGTCATTGTATCCCCATTTTACTGATGAGGAAACGGAATCACTGAGAAATAAATTCGCTTTTCCAATGTTACAGGAATTAAATGGCATAGCAAGGGTTCAAATCAGGTCTGATTCCAAAACCAGTGTTGTTAGTCTCTGTGCCCTTTGCCTGGAGTCAGCATATTGCTGTTCTACATACACGCCCATTAGGTTGCAATGAAGGCTCAACAGGGCAATGAATCATCTGGAGTTCACCTGACCCCTCACTGCTCCTCAGCAGAGGTCAACACCTCCTGGGCCTGGAATTCCTGTATACTGGTTCCTCCTTTCCCTTTGATGCAGCTGGATGAATTCTGTCTCGCACCCTCTTTTTTGTGCATCCTTCTGTTCCCTTCAGATAGAGCACAATGCAATTGATTAGGCTCTGCTTTCTCAATTTCAATCACATCTTCGCCCTGCCTCCCAGAGATTACAGGCAGGTCACCTTGATTGCGGTTTGCACGTTTGCACCGTTCACAAAACTCTTCAGTTGCTCGTTTACAAAACCATCTCTCGCCTCATTCACTCCCCCACTTGGCTCTTCTCTTCTGTAATGCATGTATTTTCCTGGCTTAAGACTCAGAGGGCAATTTTATTTCCAAGTTCATAGTGGAGGAGGAGGACATTTAATTGTTTAACACAGTATTTCACATGCATCATCTAACATGATCCTCACCACAAGGCAGTCCCATTTTACAGAAGAGGAATGGAAGACTCCAAGAGGCTGCAATACTTGCCCAAGGTCATACAGCTGAATGACAGAGCCGGGACCTGAACCCATGTTTGTCTTGTTTCTGTCTTAAGCACCCCATCAGCACATTCCCTAATCATGATGACACAACAAAGGGAAGCTTGATCCTGGGTGAGTCGAGTTGGGTTCACGGAGGCCTTGGGCAGCAAGGGGCCCAGGGTAGCCTTGTACATGCTGAGGACTGTACCTATAAAAGAACTAAGTCATTTGTGAATTCCATACACATTTACTGATAACTCCAGTAGGCCAGTACTGCCCAGGAGGCAGAGCAAATAATTACAGCACTTAAGGGCAATGTTAAGGCGCTCTGGTAGCGTACTGGTTACGAATCTGGCTTCAAACCGCAAGATCAGCAGTTCGAAACTACCAGCTTTTCCGCGGGAGAAAGATGAGGCTTTCTGCTCTCGTAAAGATTTACAGCCTCGGAAACCCTGTACTGGGTCGCTATGAGTCGGAACCGACTCCAAGGCACATAACACAATAAGGGCAATGTTAGTCTGGGGAGTAAGGGAGACTTCTTAGAGGTTGTGAAAGAAAAAGTTTTGTCTGTCGAAGCAACCAGCTGGTGAGGGCATCTACTGAGGGAACAGCAGTGCAAAGGCCCAGAAGTACAGTTGAGTACAGATCATTCAAGCAAGTGCAGATAAGCATGGAAGAGGAAGGTTGGACGGTCAGAGAGAAGAAAGGGCATGGTGGGAGATCAAGGAGTATGGCTCCTAAATTGTACAAGAAAGAAGAAATCTGGGGGCCCAGGACTCATTGGAGAATCTATCCTGGATCCCACTGCTCCAGGGTGAGCTGGGTGGGCCCCGTTATGCATTCCAGTAGTTCCCTCCCAGTTACAGGCATCCACCTTCACACCCTTCCCCCGCCCCGCATTACCTACTCACCATCATCCTGGACTGTCCTGCAGTGATGTCCATACTCCCTCTAGTGTCTACACTGGATACTACAATACAAACTGCAGGAAACACCAAGAACCCGGAGGGCCCCACCAGAACTCTCCTTACCACAGGATTCAAGATTCAGGATAATTCCTACTCTCAGAGAATGCACAATCAAGTGTCAGTAGGGGCTGAGGGGGACAGACAGCAGCAAATGACAGTACAGGGTGTGTGGAAGAACACGGACAGGATGAAGTCAGAAAAGCTCAGCAGGTAATGATGCCTCACCTAGATTTTTTTTTTTTTAAGTAAGTTTTTCTGTCAAAGAAGGGTTTGTTGCTGTTGTTATGTGCTGTGGAGTCGGTTCCGACTCATAGTGACCCTGTACAGGGTTTCCAAGGCTGTAAATCTTTATGGGAGCAGAAAGCCTCATTTTTCTTCTGCAGAACAGCTGGTAGTTTTGAACTGCTGACCTTCCAGTTCACAGCCCGAGTCAGTCATAACCACTACGCTACCAGAGCTCCTTAAAGAAGGGTTTAGAATGACAGAATTAAGTGAGCAAAGCTCAGAGATAGGGAATGCAACTGTGCAGGAAGTTACAACTAGGGGTACCTAGAGTGTAAAATTGGCAGTGGGTAATGGCTAAGAGTAAAGATGGTGAGGGAAGTAAGAGCCTTGTCTGTCACGCACAGGGACTTTGAATTTAATCATTGGGCAATGGGAAGTCACAGAAGAGTTTTGAGCAAGGTCAAATTCAGTCTTAGAAGGAGTCCTCTGATGACCAACATAATGGCAGATGAGACAGGAAGAGGTGGAGAGGAACACTCCTCTTGGACACAAAGACCCACATCAGGTCACACTCAGAGAACACAGC